TCCACCTCTGATCAATCTTCCCTTTATGAACTTATGAGTTATTAATATTAATATCTGTTCTTCTACAATATTCTCTTTAGCGTCGCGTCCTGTGCGGTTTCATGTAATATAAAGCAATGATGGAGAAGAAAAAACACTCCAGCATCTGAAATCACTTCAATGAGTCGAACACTTACAATTATGAAATATGTGGAAGCCTAAAAAACATGCGGATTATGACATAAAGTCGGAATTATGAATACTGAGTCATATTTGAGATGAATCATCAAAGTTATGACATACAAAGTCAAAAATAAAATGAAAAAGTCATCATTTCAACTTTTCAATTACTTGGTATGCCATAATTGTCATAAACATAGATTGTCATTAAGACATATGATTGTCATTATTTTTTACTTTTTATTTCATAACTTTGACTTTTATCTCATAATTATGACTTAGTATGTCATAATTTTTTACTTTTTATTTCATAACTTTGACTTTCATCTCATAATTTTGACTTAGTATGTCATAATTTTTTACTTTTTATTTCATAACTTTGACTTTTATCTCATAATTTTGACTTAGTATGTCATACATTTTTACTTTTTATTTCATAACTTTGACTTTTATCTCATAATTCTTAACTTTGTGTGTCATAATTTTTTACTTTTTATTTCATAACTTTGACTTTTATCTCATAATTATTAACTTTGTGTCATAATTGTTTACTTTTTATTTCATAACTTTGACTTTTATCTCATAATTATTAACTTTGTGTCATAATTTTTTACTTTTTATTTCATAACTTTGACTTTTATCTCATAATCATGACTTAGTATGTCATATTTTTTACTTTTTATTCATAACTTTGACTTTTATCTCATAATTTTGACTTAGTATGTCATGATTTTTTACTTTTTATTTAATAACTTTGACTTTTATCTCATAATCATGACTTAGTATGTCATAATTTTTTACTTTTTATTTCATAACTTTTACTTTTATCTCATAATTTTGACTTAGTATGTCATAATTTTTTACTTTTTATTTCATAACTTTGACTTTTATCTCATAATCATGACATAGTATGTCATAAATTTTTACTTTTTATTTCATAACTTTGACTTTTATCTCATAATTATGACTAAGTATGTCATAATTTTTTACTTTTTATTTCATAACTTTGACTTTTATCTCATAATTCTTAACTTTGTGTGTCATAATTTTTTACTTTTTATTTCATAACTTTGACTTTTATCTTATAATTATTAACTTTGTGTCATAATTTTTTACTTTTTATTTCATAACTTTGACTTTTATCTCATAATCATGACTTAGTATGTCATATTTTTTTTACTTTTTATTTCATAACTTTGACTTTTATCTCATAATTATTAACTTAGTATGTCATAATTTTTTACTTTTTATTTCATAACTTTGACTTTTATCTCATAACTTTGACTTTTATCTCATAATTATGACTTAGTATGTCATTATTTTTTACTTTTTATTTCATAACTTTGACTTTTATCTCATAATCATGACTTAGTATGTCATATTTTTTTTACTTTTTATTTCATAACTGACTTTTATCTCATAATTCTGACTTAGTATGTCATATTTTTTTACTTTTTATTTCATAACTTTGACTTTTATCTCATAATTATGACTTAGTATGTCATAATCTTGACATTATATCTCATTATTTTGACTATTTGTCTGAATAAGGATTTACAAAGCATGTTTTTTGTTGTTATGTGGCTGTAAAGGGCTTCCACGGGATATACGTTCAGTTTATTAATGAATACCTTCAGATTAATATTGTACAGTATTGTGTTCAGCTTCGGCTTGTGGAAAAGGACCAAACTCTTCGAGCGCTCTGTGTAAACTCATTTGCTGTTTTCTGACTTGCTGTTGGCCTTGTTTTCTCTGATGTGCCTCCCACGAAATATTAATCATACGTATTTGACACTCTGTGATGCTGACACTTTTGTTTATGATTCTTTTGAGTCATTTGGACTTTTGATTCGTTTCGATCTTTGGCTCAGTGTTGTCGTTGTTGTAAGGAACATTTGCATGAATCGTGAAAGATGTTACGTCTGAGGAACTGAGATCAATAATCACAGCTTACTGTATGAATGAGAGCAGATGAAAATATGAAATCATCATAACAAACAAAGAGGACGTGACTAGAGAACATCGTTTATCATTTACTCCAGCGAATCAACATCTACAGAAGCCCATTTCTGGCACACAAGGAACACAATCATGATTAATTAGGACATAAAAAAATCATAATTATGAGGAAAAAGTTTAAGTTATTACATACCGAGTCATAATTATGAGACAAAGTCAGAATTATGAGATACTAAGTTATAATTATAAGGAAAACATTATGTCTGAGTCATTATTATGAGATGCCAAGTCATTATGAGAAAAAGTTGAAATTATAAGATACAAAGTCATGAATATGAGATACTAAGTCATAATTATATTACACACTAATTATTATGAGAAA